AACAATAAAAAATATTAGTATGTTTATTTGTTATTATTCTTCTTATTATTCTAGATTATCGTTAAGGTGCCTTTTCGATGCGCGCATATTTATCATTAAATCTTATCGACTCTGTGGATAAATCAGGCTGATAAGTCAGGGTCATTGCAGGACCCAGAAAATATTGATTCGCTAGATCTTACAATGACCTTGATTTATCAGTCTGATAATCCGCTAAGTCGATAAGATTAATAGTGACATCTCGCGACAGACATTGCAGCCGTACAAAGACAATGACGATAATGATAATGACGTTTCTTAAAATAAAAATTTCCAAATCGGACTTTGCGTAGCAATATCTCCGCTCATAGAGCACATAGCTGAAAAATAAAAATACTTTTATTATGCAAGTCGAACTCAAGCTATCAATTAAGTCAACTTAAAACTTGATCGATTTAATCGTTATTAAGCTCTAATAATTTCGGATGCTCGCATTTCGTCGACTCGCGTAAAGTCACACGGTAATGTTCTCTAATTGACTTGATACCCGAGACACCGTGTTTCCTGATACAGTTAAATTAATTATTAATATAATTAAATAAATTGTTGCAAAATATATTGTATATATTGTAAGTCAATTTTGTTATTAAACCATATCATACATCTTATAAGGATGAACGAAATATAAAAAATATTCTTGCAAACGAAACATATCAAATAAAATCTTATTTGGATCAAGAACTATTATAATCAATCAATTCAAGATACTGAAATATTTTTTTTATATTCTTACATATTCAATAATATGAAAAAAGAACTATGAATATAAAAATCATAAAAAAGTGTGCCAATACTAATTTATAAAAAATAACAATTACATTTATACCTCCTTTCTTACTCGGGAGCTCGCACCATGCCTCGTGCAATCTCTCTCCTGCTGCGCTCCAGGAGGATTTTTGATATATTTGATCAGTGGTGTTGGGAGAATGTCATCGCTGCGGTTCGACTTGCATTCATTGAGATCATCATCTCTCTGGAGTATCAGTCGTGAGGATTCGAGAATGTGTGTATATATATTGTAATGTGTATATTGTATTGTATTGTTTAACGTGTTATTCTAAACACGTTATTGCAATAAATGTCACCACATGCTTCAGTAATCAAAAGGATAAGATGCCTGCCCGGTAAGCTGGAGATCCAGTTTTGATTCCTGATTGAGATGATATTTTTCGCAAAAATAATAATTATGAATTTTCACGATCGATCTTAGTCGGACCTCTGCCGTGACGTACACTCTTCCTTCTTACTTGGGACAATCTACAACAATCTTTTAACTGTTCAAACTTGACAACCTTATTTTGTCAGACATTAGAATTTGACACCCTCGCAAAAACAGAAAGTTTTATATACAAATAGTAATACATACAATAATTATATATGAATGATACATATTATATTATCTTATATAAATTATATATATTATACATATTCTACATATTATATATATTATACATATTATATTATCTTATATAAATTTCTATGTTGACTATATGTTAATAATAAATAAGAAATATAAATAATGCGTAATTATAATTCTATAACTAATTACAGTCTTCTATATAACATGTTTTTATATATATATTTTAATGTTATAATTTTAATGTTATGTTTTCTGATTTATCCGATGATTTATTTACGCATAAAACACGATAATAATGTATGTATAAATTGATATATATTTGATATTGCATTAAACGTATTCATTTTCACAATGTGAACTTATAAATATAACATGAATATAACAGGAAATTATATAATACATCCGTTACAGTATATCATACGGACTTGCGTCTTTTTTTGTTCAAAATTTCTTCGACAAGCTTGAATGAATTCTTTGCAGTATAATAAACAAAAAAACAATTACATAAACTTATGTCCAAAAATGTGTGATATATCCTCTATTTAATTGAATTCAAATAATAATACATTGAATTATGGATTGCTGCATTCTTTCAAAAGTTCCAAGAAAATAATAATTGATTTTACAGACATAAAAAATATTTCTCTCTATTTCTATTTCTATTTTCATTTGCAAGTGTATATATATTAAGGACATTAAGTATTTTTTATAAACTAAGACTTAATATTAATCAGATTTTATAATTTTTTCCTTTATTATGAGGTAAAAAATTTATTTTCAAAGTTTGTCAAAAAGTTTGTTTTCCAAAGAAATTTGGAAACATACTGTGTATTATACTGTGTGTATAAAACTCATATTTTGTTTTTAATTTGCACAATAACATTTTTATTCTATACATATGTAAAGCAATGAATAAAGAGTACAAAATAATATATGCGCGCCTATATGTATGTATCTTTTGTTGTTTTTTTCTGTAGAAAATTGATGATTTCTTTCAGGAGCCCATATCTTTGAAGTTTATGTTAAGCTACACGATGGACGACGAAACTATTACAGAAATGGGTGAAGTGGAAACATTACCTCTTCTATGAGTTTCAGTGAGTCTGTTATGAATTCCATGCAGTGCTGCATTCATACTCGTCGTGTGTGTCCTTAGTAGATTGAAAATAGTATAAGAATATTCCAATTATCACAATTTAATTATCCAAAAATATTAAATTATTGTTAGATATTTTTTATATTATTTTAAGTTAAGAATGCAAGTAGCTAATTCCTTTATTTTAAACAATTTGTCTATTTTTGTCTCTTTCTTTCAATCTCTAGTCTTATGGTTTCCAAAACGAAAACATTTACCACATCACTTTCTATTCTTACAATTACATTCATTTGTCATGTACAGAAGATTCTTATTTTAATGATATTTGTGCAAAATAAAAATCTTATTTCGTAATTCGTATATATAATAACATTTTTATATGTAAATTAACAAGTGGCAAATGTAAAATAATGAGAAAAGAAATATTACGCAAGAAATATTAAGTTTATTAATATTGAACTTTAATTAAAAATTAAGAATTAAGGAGATATAGAGTTTTAATTTTAACAATCCAAATAAATTAAATTTGGAAACAATCTTATAATTATAAATTATATATTATCTTAGAATAATGAAGGAAAAAAGTGAACGACAAAATGTATGAAATTTCATTAGAAAAAGAAGAAATTTTTAGGGATACTTTCTCATGTTATGCCAAAATTATAAATAAAAGTAATGAAATAAATTTATGTGAATATGATTATGTAATGTTATGTTTTTGCACCCATCCACTATGTATATCCACAAAATATGTTTTTATCCCTTTCTAACAAACTTGTTTAGTAAATTCTTGATATTACAATAAACAAGAAAATTCATTTAAGGCTGAATACTCAATTAAAAACTCCGTGTTGACAGTGGTAAACACAGCGTCGCGATAAAAATTAAAAACTTATTCATTCTTGTTCATCTTATCTATTCTTATCATCACTTGTCCTTGTCTATCTTTATATTAAGATGCTGACAATGAAATTTTTTATTGCACCTAATTTCATTATTATGATCACAATCGTTTAAATGTGACTTGTCTTGTACCAAATACAATAAATACATAAAAATAGATGACAGGTAAAATTACTTTTGAATTTTACGTAAATGTTATGTAAAAATATATTTTTCATCTTTTCTGTCAATGGCTGTCAAACTGTTTTTCTTTCCGAATTATGACTATTTACTGACTATCAGGCGAGAAAAGAATAATAGCCGTCCATTTTCACATTTTCATTTTGTTTTGCGATCTCAAATGTCATTTTAGTCCAATATTTTTTATTTACAAATTATATGTAATAAATTTCACTATATTATTTCTCGCTTATGATCACAATTCCAATGTAACCGCAACGATCAATCAGGAGCCTTAAGTTTAAGTTTGAAAATATATAGAATGAAAGTTATCCTACTATGTTTGCAAAGTTATCCTATTGTCCTCATTTTCTGAATGTTGTAAAAGAGCATTTTATATGTAATTTATATGTAGCAATCTGTGCGTATGTTTAATGAAATGCGGGGTCTACAATGCGAGTTTTATAACTGTATTACGTCTAGTAGACTCCACGATTTTTTTCTTTTCTAAAAAACATGATTAATATAATTTTCATTTATAAAATTAAGAATATTGATTTCTTTTCTTCTATTAATAAGATGTATTTCGAGAAGTAAGAGAAAGATTTGTAACCGCTCCGACTATTAAAGTATATATTATAATAATCTTTTTTTAAAGGAAAACGCAAAGAACTTTTTTTTATTAATTTTCAAGTTGGACCTGTTACAAATCCGAATACTGCACATACGACAAGCATGAACAAATAATGACCTAATACCTAATACCTAATGTAAACAACCCTTGTACCCTACCTCAGATTTCATGCTCGTCATTTCTCTTCAACAAAGAATCAGACCTTATATAAATGGAGCTCTTTCCAGGCCGCGATAGAACATTATTCATTAATCCCTTATTAGAGTCACATCGTGTCATCTCATTCCCAGTTCATGTCATTCCCAGTCAACGTTTTTCGATTGTAATTTAGAGTCAGTGAAACCTACCAATCTCAACCAAAGACAACTTTTTGGGAGGAAAATGAGACTTTAACGAGTTTTCTTCACGACAACTCCCTTAATCAAGAAGCAGTAAATCGTCAATTAAATTCATATAAATTGAGGTTGTAAATTTTCGGATTTTCTTTCCATTTATTTGGTTTCATCTTTCCAAGATGAAACTTCCCTTTTCTATCTTACCCTCCGCTGTGAACTTCTCGAGTTTCCGAATATCGTAGCAGGCCGTTGAAGGTTCATGGTTGTCGAATAAATCGGCGAGCTAGCTCTCTCTCTCTCTC